ACCAACCAAACAAACAAACAAACAAACAAACAAAAAAAACAGGTACTTTGCCCAGTTCATTTACCATTCCATTTCTAGTGCCTAGAACAGTGCATGGCACACAGTAGGGCTCAGAAAATACTTGCTGAGTCAACTGATAAATAAAATAAAAACAAGGCTCAGTGTGGGTATCTCCCTATCATAGGCTGGAGAATTGAAGTATACAACTCTTCAGAGGTGGGAACGCCTTCCCTTAGACCAAGCTACCAACAGGCTGAAAACCATTCTGATCTATCACACCTTAATGGGGAGAAATAGGAGGTAGAAGGGCATTCAATTTTCAAAGGAACAAGACTATAACTGGCAAGGTTAGACAATGATTCTGTTTGGGGCCCTTTAAAATTGCTGTCAACTGGCCAGTCCTATGAAATCAGGTCACCAGAATTTGGAGGGAACACGCACTCAAAAGCCCAGAGTGTACAGGCTGAGCATGGGGCCTGGGCCTCAGGAATGTCCTTCTGAGACAACTAAGCTGTGTTCATAGGTAACCAAGGGGCCAAAAGTCAATGATGCAACCGCTGCAAAAGAGGAAGTGATTCAACCGCCTCCATGCCCACCTAGGCCTCGGCCTCCCGGGACCCACTCACCTACACTCCTTACAACATCTAACATCCCCTCTGGCTCCCAGTGCTCCCAGTGTTTGGTGTTTGGACTGATCTGTTCTCAGATCTAGGCAGGAGGAGCCCTCTGTGAGGGTCCTTTCCAGGTGCTAAGACAACGCACATGGACATGGCTCTGCTACCACAGCCAGTCCTGCACAGTGGTACTTTATAAGTTTCTTCAAGGCCAGAACACCAGCCGAAAGGAAGTGATGGCTTCTGTGGCCCCAGACTGAGTGAGCTGGGTGGATGGCCATTCCTCACCTACCAGGCATTTGAAAGATACCTACCATTCCAGGGGCCAACACAAATTCCTATATAATAAAGAGGTGATATGCAAATTGACCATCACTCCAACACACAAAGATGGCCACTCCCATGTGGACACAAGATGGCCACCACAAGATGGCCAGCAGGGGAGGGCAGTTGGGGGTGATCAGGCTGGCAAGGGAGGGCAGTTGGGGGCGACCAGGCCTTCAGAGGAGGGCAGTTAGGGGTGACCAGGCCAGCAAGGGAGGGCAGTTAGGGGCAATCGGGCCAGCAGGGGAGCAGTTAAGCATCAATTAGGCTGGCAGGGGAGTGGTTAGGGACAACCAGGCAGGCAGGCAGGCAGGCAGGCAGGCAGGCGAGTGGTTGGAAGCCAGCAGTTCTGGATTGTGATAGGGATGTTCCAGATTGGAGAGGGTGTAGGCTGGGCTAAGGGACACCTGCCCCCCTCCACCACCCCATGCATGAATTTCGTGCACCAGGCCTCTAGTAATTTAATAAGCCCTGGGACAGGTATAGGGGACCAAATATCCAGAAAAAGCCACTGACCGAAGTGGGTGTATCTCTACTCTTCCATACTTATTTACCATCTGAGGCCTTGCACGCACCAGGCAAGCTGTTTAGTCTCTTAACTGCCCGGCTTATTAGACCGAACAAGCAAGTAGATTTGGCTGTCAAGGGGCAGCTGGTGGGTCGGGCAGGACACTCTAAACTAAGATCTCAGCCGAAACCGGTTTGGCTCAGTGGATAGAGCGGTCTTCGGACTGAAGGGTCCCAGGTTTGATTCCGGTCAAGGGCATGTACATTGGTTGCGGGCACATCCCCAGCAGGGAGTGTGCAAGAAGCAGCTGGTCGATGTTTCTCTCTCATGATGTTTCTAGCCCTCTATCCCTCTCCCTTCCTCTCTGTAAAAAAGCAATAAAATATATTTTAAAAAAATAAAAATAAACTAAGATCTCAGATTGAATTGGGTGGGGGGGAGTGTCAAGGGAAGAACGGATAGAGGGTTGGGGTGAAGACAACAGAAGTGAAAAGATATGGAGACCCCAGTTTAAATAAGATGAGTGAGAGTGGAAGGAACTGAGGCAGCAAGAGTTGGGGGTGGTTTAGCCAAGACTTAGGGAAGGAGGATGTCCTCAGGATGGCTGGAGATGGACAGGAAGTGTGACAGGCTAGGAAGTTAGGGGGTGAGTCTGTGCAGACGAGATACAGACCTGGGACAGGACTGAGGACCAGCGTTACCAGGAAGAAAGGGGTGAGCCCGGAGCTGACTTTGGGGTGGGTCTTACGGGAGAGTGGGCAGCGGTGGGTGTTTGGGGTGAGCAGGTCTTGGGGAGCCGAGCTGCCGGAGACTGGGATAAGAAAGCTGATCCAGAAAAAAGGCAAACCAGAATGGTGGGTCTCACGGCTTGCGGGGAGCATTAGGACTGCCAGAGGGGCTGGGGTGAGGATGACATGTGTCAGGGGGGCCGGGGGAATGCAGCCGGATTGGGGTTGGAGCTGGGCTACAGCGGGGCCAAGGGTGAGGCTGCATTTGCGCAAGGCCGGCGGAGAGGGGGTGGGGTGCGGGCCGGCGTCAGGTCCCGGCGGGAGAGCACAGAGGGGACCGCCGCAGGGCCGTGCGGGCCGAGGGCCAGGGCCGGAGGGGGAAGCCGGGGCACGGGGTCCGGGCTGGGCAGGGTGAGGGCTCTGAAGCAGGCGGTCTCAAGGCAGCCGGAGGTTCGGGATCCCGTCGAGGGCCGCTGGCCCGTCGCCCGCCCGCCGCCCCCCACGCCCCGCCGCCCCCCACGCCCCGCCGCCTTACTCACCAGGGGAAGCGGGGAGCGGGCCGGACGGCACTCCCGGCCACCGCGGCCGCAGAAGCTCGGACCCGAACCCGCGGCCTCCAGTTACTGACAACAGCAAGCTGCGCCCGGGGCGCCTGACGCCATCACGTCGGCCCGCCCCCGCCCCGCCCCTGGCCCTCGGAACCAATCGCGGAGCCCGGAGGAGCGGGGGCGTGGCCGAGGGCGTGGCCGGGGCGGGCCCGGGGGCGGGGCTGGAGCTCTGGGAGCCCCAGGCATCGGGCTGCCCGCCCTCTCCCGGCCTCGGCTTGGTGCTGCGTAGCGTTGGGGCTGCCGCTTGACCTTCTGCGGCAAAGGCTGCCCGCTTGTAACCTGGGATGAATAACCGCTACGCTGCCCTGTGTTTGCCTTGCCAGGGCATCCGTGCAGCCCGGGGCCAGGGCTCAGGGCCACGCCGGAGCCTCCCGCCAGGAGGAGTTCAGGAAAAACACCGTGGCCACACCTTACTCTCAAAGGAAGCGCCCAAGGCAGGCCCCTGGGCATTCTCCTTTAACCAGCTCAGCCGCAGGGAGACACAAAGCCAGTTAAATTTGATTTTCATCGCAGATGTGATATTTCTCTTTCCGGTGAATTCAAAACAAACATAGCAAGGGGTGGCCTGCGGTGTGAACAGGGATGCGGAGGAAGGGCTGGAGGCGGGTCCAGGGAGTCCCTGTGGGTGGCCACAGGGCTGGTTGAGGATCAGGCCAGTTCTCGGAAGCAAGTTGCACTGAGCTCCGTGGGGAGTGAGGGGAAGGGGGTAGAGGTGAGAGAAGGGTTCTGTGCTCCCTGGCCTTCCCTGGAATGCAGGTGTTCCTGTCCCTGAGGAGGTGAGGTCCCCCAGCCTGTTTCCACTTATAAAACCAGCTGGTGGGGTGCCCTCCTTCCCCCCTTTGCAATTCTCTCTCCAGGAGTGAAAACACACTGGCTCCCTAGGTTTTAGGCTAGATGAGTGAGAGCTAAGTGCCTACACTATGATTAATGGTTGAACAGAATTAGAAATAAAAACTTAGCAAAATGTGAGACACTCTGCCCTATCCAAGAGATGAGGGAGTCAGGTTTTAATATTCGTGGTAAACAGAAGCCCCTACTGTGTGAACATCTGTCGTCATTAGCCACCTGGAAGGCCGTTGTCGTCCCCACGGTGCAGGTAGGAAAGCAGGCTTAGAGCCAACCTGGGGGACCCAAGCTGCACAGCTACTAAATCTCCCCCAGCTCTTGTTGGAGGGGTAGCGTAATTCCCTCAGTAAGAGAGCAAGTGGGCCTGAGGGCCAGGATTGCTTCGGTTTGAACCCCAGCTCTACCCCATGCTGTTTTCTGGGTCTCTCCTACACAGGGGCCCAGGGCACCCCAGTAAGCAGCGGGCTAAGACAACTGCCACAGTGTCTGTATTTTTTCATAGGGCCCTTGAGATAACATTGAAGATAGAAACTTCTCTGGATGTTCAAAAAAGAGAAGTCAAGTCACACCACCCATGGCCCCATAGCGTAGAGAAGAGGGGTCCAAGTGTGTGAATTCATGGAAGTTTCCAAACCTCTGAGTCTCAGTTCCTCATCCCTAAATTGGGGAAGATATCAGCTGACGTGAGGATTAAATAAGATCGTATCCTCAGGAGGGGTTTTGGTCTGTAGTGAGCACTTGAAGATGACGAGCTATTCTTGTTCCAGTTCTGGCCATTCTCACCTTTCCAAGCCAGTCACATTCCTGCCTTTCTTTTCCTTTTTTAAAAAAAAAATATATATATATTTCATTGATTTTTTTACAGAGAGGAAGGGAGAGGAATAGAGAGTTAGAAACATCGATGAGAGAGAAACATCGATCAGCTGCCTCCTGCACACTCCCACTGGAGATGTGCCCGCAACTCAGGCACATGCCGCTGGCCAGAATCGAACCCGGGACCCTTCAGTCCACAGGCTGACGCTCCATCCACTGAGCCAAGGCTAGGGCACGTTCCTGCCTTTCACTGCTCTTCTGAGCACTGGAGCCAGATCCTTTCTGGTTTGAATCCTTATTTGCCATCAGATTGGAATCATCAGACTAGTATCCACGCCTCTCTCTCCTGCTGGAATAGCTGGTCTTCTGGGCTCTGCTGTGGAAGCTGAATATTCCCACCCTCCTTAAGAAAAAGAAAGGATTTGTAAGTTGTTTTTTTTTTTTCCTTTTATTTGTCAACTATACCTCAATAAAGCTGGGGGCGGGGGGAAATCACAAGATAATGGACGGGGGGGGGGGGGAGAACAATATTTATTGTACACACAGGCCAATAAAACGTTCAGGGAGGCTGAGGAGGGGGCTCGCTGGGCGGCAGGGTCATGTGCTCATTCGCTGGGCTGGTGGCCGCAGGGTCTGTGGCAGCGACCCTCACCACGGAGAACTCTCCGCGCAACCTGGAGCGAGAAGGACAAGGCGTTTACTCCTGGAAGGAACAACTAAAGCTATTCATTATATTTCCTCGCGTGTGGCAAGAACTCGGAATTGCTCCGACACTCACATTCTGTAGAACAGTTCGTCCTCAGCGGCCGGCTCCGGGTCGTGCAGCTCCCGGGCCATGCTCCCCACGCGGGCGGCGCTGCGAGGTCTGAGCAGGTCCCTCAGCCAGGGCGGCTGCCCCTTCCAGAAACCGCCTTCCTAGAGCAGACGGGGGTATGAGCTCCGTGTTCCTCCTCCTGTGTCCCCGCACAGCACTCGATCCTCCTCAGATTTACCTGCATCTTGTGTTCTGGTGACCGTCTCATATGCCGGAAAAATGGGGGAAAGCCCCTTGGGGGAAAAACGCAGACGGACAGTTAGCGATTCATGCCATTTCCATGGCTCTCACACGGATAGCTCTGGTCTTAGGAGGACTACATGGGCACCTGGGTCCGTACTCACGAGCAAAATCGCCACAGGCCTGGGACCTGGAAAACGAGTCCTCGCATGCTGGGCTTCCGGAGGTTCTCTGTTTAAAGCCCCGCAATGTCTCCGGGGAGACCTTTGCATGCGGCTTGGCAGAGAGTACGGGCAGCATTTCCAGCCCCACTCACTGGCTTGGCCCTTGACCAAGGGCCCTCATGCAGTGAAAGCCAAAAAGCACAGGCCCGCGGGGCAGAAACATCTTACTCAGGCCCCTGTAGACCGTGGCTCACAGGCATCCTATGCTGGGGGGTGGGGGGGGTGCTTTTATTTTGCTAACTGCTTTACCCCATACATTAAATCACACCAACTAGCCAGGTTATCTAGCTTGCTAATTTTCATACTGCAGGTTGAAAGTGAGTTGTGAAATCAGATTAAAGGTCATAACCAGAACCAAAATACAAAAGATTCTCTTTTGAATACAAACAAAATAGGAAAAAAAAAAAAAATCAGACTACATAATAATACGGGAAGAAGCTCCTCTACTTCCAAAATTAGATTTGCCGAAAAAAATTGCCAGACTTGCCGAAACCGGGTTGGCTCAGTGAACAGAGAATCACCCTGCGGACTGAAAGGTCCTGGGTTCGATTCTGGTCAAGGGCATGTACTTTGGATGTGGGCACATCCCCAGTAGGGGGTGTGCAAGAGGCAGCTGATCAATGTTTCTAACTCTCTATTCTTTTCCCTTCCTCTCTGTAAAGAAGATATAATAAAAAATAAAATATATTAAAAAAAAAAATAAAAATTGCCAGACTTATATTTACCTGGAGCTTCCTTCTTTACTTTCCTTTGATGGTGTTCTATGACAATAAATCTGTTTTGGAAGAAAACAACATTATGACTATTCATCACAATGACCACTATCTTTTAATCTTTATATGTTCCCTTTTAAGTGAGATGATAACTTTTTCTGACCGGAACTCTGTTGAGGAGTCATGTGACTCTTGTTCCATAGTTCCTAACTTAGGATTTTGCATGCAGCTGGAAATGTATTTTATTGGCTGTGTTAGAGAACATTCAGCAGATAATTCCTAACAAAAAAAAAAAAAAAAACTCCTAGAAGTAGGAAAATAAAATAAAAGTATCTACTAGAAACCTACATAGCAGCTTTGTTTTAAGGTCAAGAACAAAAGTAGAATGCCTATTATTACTGTTACTATTCATTTTTTAGGAGGGCCTAATCAATTTAATTTTAAAAAATGAAGTATTAAAAAAAGATAAAACATGTTTGCACATGAGATGATGTTTAACCTAAAAAATCCCAAAAGCATCTATTAAAATGTTATTGGCAATACTACAATTCAGCAAGATGGCTAAATCCATCATCAAGAGGTCAACATGCAAACCTCAATAGCTTTCCTATATCCCACAAATAACTAGTTTAAAAAATTAAAGAGCCCATTTACAATATCAATGAAAGTACATAAAGTATCCGAGAATAAACTTAACAAAAAATGTATAAGACCTGTGTGATGAAAACATTAAAACTCTTCTGAAGGACATTAGGAAGAATGACCATGCTCCTGGAATGTTGTAAACATGTCAATTCTCCACAACTTAACCTTCAAATGCAGTGCAATCCTATTCAAATTCCAAGATAGCTTTTAAACAACCCCCCCCCCCCCAAAAAAAGACAAAAACTGGCCAGCTGACATGTAATAGGAAACATATGCAAGAATAGCTATGAAATGTATGGAAAACAAGATAACAAAACAGGAGCTTATCCTACTAGATGTCAAAATATATGAAAAGGAATTGGAACTATATGGTAATACTGCTACTGGTACAGAAAAAAAATAACTGGATCAACAGAACAGAAGCCAGACAAAGAGAGTATTTTAGATCAGAGAAGAAAGAATGAGTCATTCAATAAAAGGTTCTGAAACAATTGCATCTTTGTGTGGGGGATAAACAGTCAATCAGACTAAAAACAAAATGAATGATAGACAGATTTTAAAAACTTATAAGAAATGTTATAAAAAGGACTTGCAAATACCAGAGACTACTTTCATACCACGAGGTGACAAAGGCCTTAACAAAACCTACGCCCCAATAAGGCACGAGAGGACTGACAGACATGGTGACAGACTGTCAACACAAAGCCGCCTCCTCAGCCCTAGCCCTCTTCTCCCCTTGACTGTTTATCATCGTCCTGTTCATTTGTCTTACTCCTTTCAGCGGCTTTTTCACTGAGTTTCAGTGCTTTTGTGTTTGAGGAGACAGAACAGTGGAGTAAGAAGCACAGGCTTTGCAGTCGGGCAAATGGGCTTCTGCTTTTGGTTCGGCCACTGGACCTGAAGTTATCTCCATGGATGGAAGAGGGTGTTTATCATCCTCTCAGGACTGTAGGGATTGAGTCAGACATCATATGGAAAATTCTTCATCCTATGCTTGGCGTCAACTAGTGCTAAGTTTGCTAATGGGGTCATAGTGGTCAAATCTATCAAAGGGTTCTGCCTGTGGTATCAGGCTCAAACAGCTCTTTCCCACGATAGAAAGAGTAATTGGTGAGTATACATCAAATTAACATCATCCATTTTGAATTGAATAAATTTTGCTATCATGTCAGCTCTGGCTTTTAAACTTAAATTTCCAAACTATTCTAGGGGCTTGTTATCCTGATTTCACTTCCACAGAGGTCTCTGGGAGTGGGGTGTGCCTCCTTTAAAAATCCCTGGAATATAATTTATAGTAAAAAACAAAGCATATCTCAGTGCTCATGGCTAACGAGGAATATCAAGTAGAAGTCAGTAGGATAATGGTCTTGACTTTCAGATTGTGGGTTCTAAATCTATTCTAAAGACAGAATATATTTTGGAAATTGAACCGACCATTGTCTTACCGCAATGAGACAGGAAATTACAATAAAAGTTATTGTTACTACAATCACAGTTATTGCCACGATGAGATTGTTGTTATGGCCATATCCTGGCACTTCTTTTGTGAGCTAAAAAGCAAAAACAACGCATTAAAAGAAAAAAAAGATGGAAAGGATAAAAACAAATTATTCTCTAGTCTATTCTAACTATTCCTTTTGTTGTTTTCAATCCTCACCTGAAAAAAAATTTTTTTCCATTGATTTTTAGAGAGAGTAGAAAGGAGAGGAGGAAGAAGGGGGAAAGGAAAAGGGAGGGAGAGAGAAAAAGGGAGGGAGAGATAGAGATACAGATAAAGATAAATAAAGAGAGAGGAGGGGGGAGATAGATAGAGAGAGAGATCTATTGGTTGCCTCCCAAAAGCCCCGACTAGGGCAGGAGATCAGAAATCGGAATATGTGCCCTTGACCCTTCTATGCTCTAACCATAGAACCATACTGGCCAGGGCTAACTATTCTTAACTACTTCTCTAAAACTCCATTCTTTCAGATGAATTGCTTATGGGTTCTTTTTAAAAAAAAATATATATATATATGTATTTTATTGATTTTTTACAGAGATGAAGAGAGAGGGATAGAGAGTTAGAAACATCGATGAGAGAAAAACATTGACCAGCTACCTCCTGCACACCCCCCACTTGGGGATGTGCCCACAACCAAGGTACATGCCCTTGACCGGAATTAAACCTGGGATCCGTGAGTCCGTAGGCCGACACTCTATCCACTGAGCCAAACCGGTTAGGGCAGCTTATAGGTTCTTAAAGAACATACCAGCCGAAACCGGTTTGGCTCAGTGGTGGAGCGTTGGCCTGCAGACTGAGAGGTCCCACGTTTGATTCAGGTCAAGGACATGTACATTGGTTGCAGGCACATCCCCAGTGGGGGATGTGCAGGAGGCAGCTGGTTGATGTTTCTCTTTCATCTCTCATCGATGTTTCTAGCTCTCTATCCCTCTTCCTTCCTCTCTGTAAAAAATCAATTAAAAAAAAATTTTTTTTTTAAAAAGAACATACCAAATAAAATGTGCTATGTAACCAGAGCATTAGCATTTGTTTGTACAATTTATCTTTTCTCGTCTACCCTAGGAACAGTGGCGCCGTTCTCCAAATGAGCAAAGGAGGGATCACTGTCTTGGCCAAAGTCACATGGCCAAGACAAGATTCAGACCAGGCGCTTGGCCTTCCTGCTGGGTGCTTTCACGGCGTGTCCTACACTGACTGGAAGTCCAGGTCTTATGTTTGGGGAGCTGGCCTCACCTCATTGGGCTCCTCCTCTTCCCATTCACCCAGAGCTCCCAGCCTTGGCTTTTTCCATTGATCCGTAGCCTGCTCTGCCTTGGAGACGTTCTCTTCTTGCTGTTTACTGAGCAGCTTCGTCAGGGGGCCTGTTCCAGAAAATAGCTCCCTCAGTTTATTTTTGTAACTTTAACGGTAAAGCTCGGGTTTAAGAGAAAGAGTCCCTCTGTTGTTTACCAAATGACTCAGGGACAGGTCTCCATCTTGTACATTTGAAAAGGGGAGTTTAATGAATGGGAATAACATTGGTCCTAGGCTTTCTAGATTTCCAAGAAGTAGGGCCGTATGTAACTTGGTGCACGCATAACATCACTTTTATCATTAGAGTCCAGGGGCTCACGTGTTAGGGATGATGCACGGTCTCCATTTCTGTCGGAGGATGCCCCCTCTGGCTCAACCGTCAGCTCCGTGCTGGTGTTCTTCCGGCCTTGCAGTATTTTCATGAACGGTCCTTCTATAAGCAGCTCTTCGTCTGTCAAAGAAGGAGAGGCCACTTTTGATAATGAAAGACTCTCAGGACAGCTTTTTTTCAGTCCACAGCCATCCATCCCAGTCAAGTAAACTGGGAATCAGCAAATATCCACGTGCCATGTAGAGAGGAGAAAAATAAATCCCAACTTTAACTTATTATTGTCAACATAACAAAAGGAGAAAAGGCGTCATTTTAAAAAGTGGTTATTTATTGAGAACATTCTGTAGTGTGGAATATAGTAACTATATTTAGAATTATCCCATTGGTTCCCAAGGGCCAATGCCGGTTATTGAAGAAAAGCCAAGTCTGAAAGGCCCACTCAGTGAGAGCCTGAACACCTGCTGTGACTCCCCACACTCACACACCCCATCCTGTTCTGCCTGAGATGCAGAGGGGCCAGAGGCTTCCTCTCTCCACTCCTCAGGGAGCTCGTGTTCTTGCTACCATCACAGATGACTACAGTTAACACCCACTGCTAACAGGTCCTCATCTGGACACGCCCGTCTCCACTTACCCACCCATTCCTTAGCTTGGTCCCTGTTCCCACATATCCCAGCCCCCATAATGGAAGGCTCTAAACAGAAAAAAACACTATGTCCACTCTTGCTCTTCAGTTAAATTTAGGCAGGCATCTGGGATGTAGATCAATAGATTTCCAAGGTAACAGACTATCAAATTACAGCAGGAAGGTTAGGGAGATATGGGGAAGATCAGAGGTCAACCAAAGGACTTGTATGCATGCATATAAGCATAACCAATGGACGCAAAACTCTGGGGAGGGAGGGCATGTATGGGAGTGGGGGGAGGCAATGGTAAGTTATGTACACATATAATACCTTAATAAAAGAAAAAAATAAGATTTGCGAGGTTGTGTGCCACTGTGGAATGTTCAATAAATCTATGGAATAATACTTGGGGAAAGAGTAATTTTTAAAAATATATATTTTTATTGATTTCAGAGAAAAAGAGGGCGGGAGAGACAGAAACATCAATGATGAGAGAATCATTGATCGGCTGGCTCCTGCATGCCCCCTACTGGGGATTGAGCCAGCAACCCGGGCATGTGCCCTTGACTATAATTGAATCTGGAACCCTTCAGGCCCCAGGCCATTGCTTTATCCACTGAGCAAAACTGATTAGGATAAAAAGAGCAACTTTTGTCAGCTGCCTACTTTGCTTTCATTTCTTATATTTTCAGTTTCATGTGGGGAACCATCCAAAGCTTCTGACTGCATGAAGGTCAAATGTGCCATTGGGCAGCTGGGTTTTCTTTTCCAGAAAAATTAAAAGTATTGCTGGTGGTGGTGAGGACCAGAGAAGGAGGTAAGGGCCCTGAGAAAGGAGGAGCATGGGCTTACGAGAGCCTCAACTTGAAGCCCGGGACCTGGCACTAGGTGACAGCACTTAGCACTTTCTGACCCTGTTTTTACTTACTTGTGAAAGGAGATTAAAATGCCTGTTGTGCCCACCCTTGAGGTAAAAGGGAACAATATAATAGATCTAAACATTGTTTTGAAAAATTAGCAACATAAATTATTATATGTGCCCCAGATCACTGACAGAGACCCATATTCAAGCTATCTGGGCAGGAAAGCACATTTTGGAAGTTATCTTAGTATGTACAAAAAACTTAAAAGCACCTGAGTGTTTGGTGGATAGAAAACCTTGTGTTTCAGAGCAGATTCAGAGCTGAATGGTCTAAGGCAGCAGTCACCAACCTTTCAGACCTCAGGGACCACCAGTGGTCCGAGGAGCACAGGTTGGCGACCGCCGGTCTAAGGATGCAAGAGCCCTCCCGTCCATTAGAAGGGCTGGGTACAGCTTCCGGGGATGAATCCAGAAACTCTGATTCCAAATAAAACAGCATCATTTGTACTCTTTTTATAAAATTGTAAAAATAAATGAAATAAAAAAATGTATCCTCATGCATACAAAACCAGTTTACCGACGACACACTAATGAACAAGTTCTCATTTGGAAGTAAAGCAGCCAGCGGAGAGCACAGCACTCACCATGTGGCCATTGATGTTAACTCCCTTCCCCGCTTCCATTCTTCCCCTTCTATTCCTCTCCTGTTCTTTACCTGACTTTTAGCAAGGTGTAGTTCTTAGAAATCTAGGCAGTTGAACGCTGAATGAATGAATGAATGAATGAATAAAAACAATGCAGTTATTTGTTTAAAAATTTATTATCATCACTTAAAAATGAAAACAAATAAAAATTTAGAAGTTTATCATTGGGCAATTCAGACTCACCACAAGGTATATTTTTCAGACATTCAGTATCACACTGCAGTTTGACTGTCTTGGCAACAGTCTCAATATTATTTTTAAATTGGCAGAGGCAGCAGGTCAAATGGCTAGGTAAGATCCTATAATGGAAACACAGAGTAAATTAGTGGTAAAGGAGTTACTTGAGTTGGTAGGCCCAGGCTCCCACAGAGCGGTGAAGAAAAGAATTGTGGGGGCTGCCCTGGCCAGAGTTTTGCTCCATGGTTAGAGCGTCGGCCGCACAATGAAGGGTCTTGGATTGGATCCCAGCCCCAGTCAGGGCAAATACTGGAGGAAACAGATGGATGTGTCTCTCACATCAATGTTTCTCTCTCTTTTTCTTCCCTCCTTCTCTCTCTCTCTCTCCATATATATATATATATATATATATATATATATATATATATATATATCCCCCACCCCCACCCCTCTCTTCCTTCCGTACTCCCTTCCACTGTGTCTGAAAATCAATGGGAAAAATATTCTCAGGTGAGGATTAAAAAAAATTTTTTTTTTAATCAATAGAAAAAGTATCCTTGGGTGAGCATTAACAACAATAAGAGTTGTTTAGGCATATCACCTGAGCACTTTGGTAGGGATCAGTTGGCCATTTGCTACCCTTGAATATAGGAAATAAATAGAGCCGAGGACAGAAGTGCCCAACAGAAGGATAAGAATGGCAGTGGGTATGGCATGCCTAGAATAGAGGTGATAGGCATTAGAATTGGGTGGCACTAATACGTAGTTTAATTCAGAAGTATCTCCTTTTCCCACCCCAAAGGATTCACTTTGGGTGGAGAATACACAGGAAGAGGGAAGACTTCTGAGAAGACTCTGGGTAAGTCCCCATCTTATAGAGTCTCTTTCTCAATTCCCAATTATGAATGGTACATACATTAGCAATGACTCTGGGCATAAAACTTTATGTGGTTACCTGGCCTCAAGAAGCCTGACTTAGAAAATAATAAAGAATGGGGGGGGGGGGAGAATGTTAAAATATGTACACAGATAATAATTCAATAAAAAAAGAAAGAAAATAATAAAGAAGCCTAAAGGAACGACCAAGTGAAAATAAATATAAGAAAAATCAACTTACAATTTTTCCAGTTGAGGAGTCATCATGAGGACGCTCCCAACTGTTATAAGTGACACGTGTGTCCTTCCCATGTCTCTGGAGGAGAAATCCCAAACATGCATGATAAAAACCCAAAGGCAAAAACTGTACACGTAAAAAGACAATTAGCAACATGTGAATACTTCAATTCTGGCTTCTGTCAAGCCAGCTTAAGAGCTTACTTGCCATAATTTCAGAGAGCCCTTCTTGAAGAAATTTATTTATTTATTTCTTAAATAAATCTTTATTGTTCATATTATTACAAATATTCCTCAATGTTTCCCCCCTCCATTGCTCCCCTCCACCAGGTTCCCACCCCACCCTCTGCCCTTTCCCCACCCCCCATTGTCCTCATCCATAGGTGCACAGTTTATGTTCAGTCTCTTCCCACACCCCCCTCTCCCCTTTTCCCCGAGATTTGTCAGCTCACTCCCCTTCCATACCCTGATTCCTTTATATTCACCAGTTAATATTGTTCATCAGATTTTTTTTAATTCCCTTGGTTTTTAGATTCACTTGTTGATAGTTACGTATTTGTTGTTCTCTTGAAGAATTTTAAATTTATTTGTGTCATCAAATGAATGACCTTGGTGAACAATCTTTTTTCTTTGATTAAAACCTTACTTATCTTATTTCTCATTCTCTATTGCGCCCACCATTTGATTACTCTTTTAATACATAATGTACAACTTGTTTCTTTCTGATGTCAATAGTATTTCTAGATGCGTCTACATGTTCCATATCTGTATGTGTTCTTCAACGCCACTCTCTTCCTGTTGGCTGTCTTGTTCATATGCATTCTTTCTTAAGCACTTTTCTGTGCCAGTAACTCTTATCCAATAGCCTAATTAAAATGTAAATTATGACCTTTTAGTCAAAATCCAAAATACTTAATCATTGATGAAAGTGAGAAAGCAGAAATCATCTCATGAGCCATGAGATTGTTGTAATACTTACAAATATTTTAATGCTGGCAATTTAAAAAGATATGGATCTTGAACAGTTGTCAGAGGATTCCGATTGAGAATTCTGAAAAATGCAATGGAATTAAAATTATCTCAAAGGTTCCCCTTGCCACAGATAATTCACTTCAGAGGCATATACTTTATGAAAAATAATGTTCTGGGTGATTGGGAGAGAAGTACTGTGTGGCAGATTTTTAGGAATTCTTTCTGCTTTATCATTTAAAAGAGACTCATGGCTGAGGAAATACCTACACTTTTTGCTCCCTGGAGAACTCTGAACTAAACTTAATTATTTCAGTTCTATGTTGCATGCATTTAAGCAGTTAGGAACTTTGCACTTGAACAGGAATCAAAGTTAAATTCGGATGTGGAACTTCAAGGGCCATTCATGTATCGGAGCAGCAGCACCACTGGGATTCCCAGGATTCACTTAACACTGAATGTTAAGTGCTTGGTGCCTTCTATTGCCCAGGTCAAAGGTCAGTACAAGGGAAAGCAGGCAGTGCCATATATGAGTTAGACAAGTCTCTTGGTCTCTTTGTACCTTACTTTCCTCATTTGAATAAAAAATGAATGGTTCTTAAGCCATACTCTTCAGGATTCAAACTGGGCTTACATCCAACTAACCAATCACTGTATGCTGTTTTTACACATAGCTTTTTACATAGTTTTGGCTTCTATTTTACTTACAACTTGTGTAAAAACTTCATTCCATGCCAGGCCTGAAATGTTCCAAACCTCACTTTTGTGATTAAATTGCAACCAAGATTTCTACAAAAAGACATAAGCAAAAAAAAAAAAAAAAAAAAAAAAAAAAGACAAAAAATATGACATCTGATCATTTACCTTTTGGCAGTGACTCTAATTTATACATAATAAACAACCTCAATATTCCCTCCACACACTAAATCTCATTGTAGAAGAGATTTGCTTATGATTTATGCTTTCATGTTTATATATGAGAACATTAGATACAAAACAGTGAATAACAATGAGACTTATAATTAAGTTTTATAAAAATTATAAAGATAATTAAGTTATATTTATAACTTACATATACTGCAAAAAAGGTAGTGATGCAAATGTATTCCTTTCAATAAATTGTATTTTATTGCAGGATAAATCTCTAAAAAAAGTAAAAGAAAAATAGTGTCTCAATTAGCTACTAAATATCTAATTAGTAGGAATAATTGATAGAGGTTAGAATGGAAATATTGAAAATGTAGCTTTAGTCTAAACTTGAAATCTTAGGAATTGTGATTTGAACCTTTCAGAGCCCTTAACCCTGCCCTCACCTCTCTCACTTTCATGATCTTCATAAATAAAATATGCAACTATAGATCTTGATAGACTTTAAGGGTAATCTTTCCTGAGAGCAGAAGAATCAACTAGATGACCTTTTATCTCTTCAAATCTAGATTATGAGCTCAAAGGTTGTATTTTTATATATAATTATAAATGTATAATATTAAAAGAAACAGTCTCACATTTACACACCCTTCTGGTTTAGTTCTGTTTGTCTAAGTCAATTCAATATCAGATGAAATAAAAGATGCCTTTTCACATAACTTGAAAGGAAGTTACTTCTCTAATAATACAGAACTTTGAACTAATTCAGAATGATACTTTCTATTATATTAATATAAATTCATTTTAATTTTACATTGCTTTAATAACCCATGAATGTAACTGCTTCAGTTGTACAGTGGTGGGACAACAGAAAACAACATTATGCTTAATTTTTACTTGAAAACACCTACTGTTGTCTATAGTTGGCGCTCTTATTTCCATTGATCCCACTTTAGCCCCTCACTTTTCATCTGGATGAGTATAACTGTTTTCTGACTGGTGTTTCCCTCTATTCTCTCCTCCTTTCTAATCTATCCTGCACACGGTCACTAGATTAGCTTTCCAGAAGTGACTCTCAAATACTAGCCAGCATCACTTGAAAATTTACTTAAGATGCAAATTCTCAATCCTCCCCGGGACCCACTGAATCAGTAACTGTGAGGTGCAGCTTGAGTTTTAACAAGCCCTCCAAGTGATTCTGCTGTAGGCTACAGTTTGTCCTAGAGCACTATGTGATAACATGGTAGCTTGGCATTCAAAGCTTTAGATGATCTGATTCTAAATTGCTACTCTCTCTACTTGTACTCTAAAATGTATTTTTCCTGCCCTAACTGGTTTGGCTCAGTGGATAGAGCGTCAGCCTGCGGATTCAAGGATCCCAGGTTTGATTCCGGTCAAGGGCATGTACCTTGGTTGCGGACACATCCCCAGGAGGGGGTGTGCAGGAGGCAGCTGGTCGATGATTCTCTCTCCTCGATGTTTCTAACGAAGAGAGAGGGATAGAGAGTTAGAAACGTCGATGAGAGAGAATCACCGATCAGCTGCCTCCTGCACACCCCTTCCTGGGGATGTGTCTGCAACCAAGGTACATGCCCTTGACCGGAATCGAACCTGGGACCTTTTAGTCCGCAGACCGACGCTCTATCTACTGAGCCAAACCAGTTTCGGCAAAATATATATTTTTTAAATGTATTTTTCCTGTGTCTTGCCTTTCCATGTGCTCCTTTTACAAGCTTATTCTACCCAAGATGTCTGTCTGATGATCCCCAAGGGCCTTTCAAGGTTCAAAAAGCTACTCCAGTAGCATCTTTGCTAATCCAACTTGAAGTCTCTTTTCCCTCTGCTGTAACCAAAAGCAATTTATAGCCCCCATTGCCCATATCTATTTCCTCGTTTTAAAAGTTATTTTTATATCCTGTTTCCTCTGAGAATAACTCCTTGAAAGTATGCATCGGGTCTTGCTCATTTGCATTGTCTACTATTGTTAAAAACAGACATGTGAACATATGAAAATTCAAATATCTATATACAATCTAATAAAAGGGTAATATGCAAATTAACCGTCACTCCATCACAAAGATGGCGGTGCCTATACCCACAAGATGGCGGCATCCAGTCCTCTAAGCCCCGCCAGAGTCCCCCAGTCCCAGGGAGGCAGCAGGCAACATGAGCAGCCTGGCGGAATGTTTGCTTCATTGCATGGCAAAGAGGTAAGCATTCCACATGAGCTTTGGAGAGCCTCTGGGCAGCTGGCACGGAGCAGCCGGTGGGATTGGGGGTTAACACTTGTATTGTCGCCGGAGTGATGAGGTGAGTGTTTCACACCTGGCTGTGGATGGGCCTCTGGGCCATGGAGGGCCTCTGGGCATCAGGCGTAGAGCAGCCAGGCCCTGCAGAGAGCTACTGGCTCATGGATTTGTGCACAGAGCTACTAGGATATATACAAAAGGCTAATGTGCAAACTCAGGAGTTTGACCAGGAGACTGGGAGTTTAATTGCTCACTATGACATGCGCTGACCACAGGGGGCGGTGCAAAATAAAGGAAGGCCCAGCTGGCAGCCAGAAGACCCCGATCGGCCCTGATCGCCAGCCAGGCCTATGGACGAATTTTGTGCACCTGCCTCTAGTTTATGAAATAAACAACTAGCAGGGAAGTAGAGAGAGAAAAATGATTTTCAGTTTTATCACTTCATGGCTCCCTCTTGTGTACCTCTGTAGCATGTTGTCTTCCATTTTAGTACTTAGTATAATACTTGTGCACTATTAGAGCTGATGCTTCTTTTCCCCATGAGATCATGAGTTACTTGAAAGGTAGAAACCCTGTTTTACCCATCTTTGTGCCTACAATTCTAGGCACAGTGCTTGGCTTTACTAGCTTATTTATTGATTGGCATTTTTAAGTGAATGGGAATACTTATGATAGCATGAAATAATTAGCTTACAAAGTATTTCACAGTAGAAATAAACAATAACCTAATCTATTGAGCATTACCTCATTTGCTTTTCTCCAAACTATAAGGTTTGGAACCCAGATGGCAGAAACCCAAGACTAATATAAAAGTGGTGTCCTCCTAAGGCTTGAAATGTTTGGTAATCCATAGGACTATTTTTGGTATCATATAAGACTCTTTATACTCACTTCCCTAAAGCCTTCTACTTTTGAAAAAAGAATCTATTTGCTAAAGAGCATCATTCATTTGCTTAATAAAGATTAATGACATACACAGCTCTGGATGCCATGGACAAAGGAGCATAATTGAGTTTTATAGCAAAGAATATCTCCTTATAAATAAACAGAATTACTAGGCAAACTTTCTTCTCTGACAAGGAGGCTGGAAAGATTTTTATTTTGAAACTAGAGGCCTGTCACATGAAGATCCATGCAAGCATAGGTCTTTCTTTCCCTGGCTTCACTCCCAGCTGCCTGGGAGCCTTCAGGTCCTCACTCATGGTGGAATGCGGCTCCTGTAGCTCCCTCTGCCCCTTCCCCTTCCCCTCATAGCAGGCATCCCGCCCCTTCTGGCCACTCCACATCTGTGTATGCAAATTAATCTATCATCTTTGCTGGGTTAATTTGCATTCTCACTCCTGATTGGCTGATGAGCATTGCGGAGGTACTGTCAATTTGCGTATTTCTCTTTTATTAGTGGAGGTGGGGCATTTCTAATATGCTTATTTAGTGTAGACACTTCTAATTATATCATTTAACCATCATTTTAAGCATTTATTTTTTAATATTGGTATAACAATTCCTGTATTGAAATCCTTACCACCAGTCTGCTCTCTTGGTAATTTACTATGTTCTTAATAATGCTATGTTTACATAATTAATCTGCTTAAACATCAAATATGTAAATATTAATGTAATTAAGATTAAATTATCAAAAAATTCTGGGTTAATAGCATTCAAATTAATACAAGAGCTCTATAATTTTCTTGTCCTATAGGAAACAATTTGAGGTTAAGCTGAATTCCTCTCATTTCACTAAATCAACATTAAACCTTTTCTGTAACCTGACCATGTGTTTCAGTGGTTAAGCATCGACCTATAAAGCAGGAGGTCATGTTTTGATTCCTAGTCAGGGCACATGCACAGGTTGCGGGCTCCATCCTTAGTATGGGGCATGCAGGAGGCAACTGATCAATGATTCTTTCTCATCATTGATGTTTCTCTCACTTCCCCTTCCTCTCTGAAATAAATTAAAATATATATTAAACAAACAAACACATATTCTGTGAAGACCAGATAGTAAATATTTTAAACTTTGGAGCTGTCTTGAATACCTACCTTCTTTGTTTCTTTTCTTTTACAGTGTAAAAATCATTCTTTTTTTTTTTTTCAATATATTTTATTGATTTTTTACAAAGAGGAAGGGAGAGAGAGAGTTAGAAACATCAATGAGAGAGTCATCGATCAGCTGCTTCTTGCACACCCCCTACTGGGGATGTGCCCACAACCAATGTACATGCCCTTGACCGGAATCGAACCCGGGACCCTCCAGTCCGCAGACTGACACTCTACCACTGAGCCAAACCGGTTTCGGCTAAAAATCATTCTTAACTGATGGGTTGTAAAAACACACACACCATAGGTCCAATATGATCATGGGCCCTAAACTAAATATAAATGTAAGCAGATGGTATATGAACACTTATATAACAAGGCTCATGTGAGTGTGTATAATTATATTGTATTATCACTTTTCTCTATAACTGGAGAGTTTTTCTATCTATATCTTGTCCATATGATTAAAAAAATAAAAATGCATAGGCGATATTAAGTGCTAGAGGTGGGCTGGAGCCCTACACAAACTTACAGAATTGTAGAATTTTATTGATGGGAGAAATTGTAGAGATAATCTGTTTTGAAACCCTTATTTATCGATAACATAACTAAAAACTCAAGTAGAAACAAGAAACAAAACCAAAACTCAAATAAATATAATTAACTTACAAATACTGAAGGAAAAGCAGGCCTTCAAATGAATCTTTTTGTAATTTTCTCAAATTATTTCCACTGAGATTTCTGAAAAATGAAAAGGAGATTTCTGAAACAAAATGAAAAATAACTACAACTATTTACTGCACAGAAATATATATGGGAAACCTGGGTAATGGTGCCATTATTATGTCTTTTATTAATAATCCAAAGGTCACTTATGACAGTCTGTTCAAGTTGAACTAATAATATGACACACAAACTGTCATGAAAAACCCCAGGTACTTTGAATGTAAATATTTTCCCCCAAATCTCTTATGTGCCTAAACAGACTTTTCTACAAATCAATATTTAAAAAATGGGCAAAAAAAAAAAAAAAAAAAAAAAAGGACAGGGCAAATTCAGAGAAGAAATACAAAAGTTCAATAAATATATAAAAATATTTAAGGTCACAATTAATCAGAAAAATTCCAATTCAGATGGGACCCCTTTTATTCACCCATTAGATCAGCCAAAAAAATGGAGACTATCCAGTGGTGAAAAGGTAGAGGGAAATAGATGCTGTTTGGCCCATTGATTGGCACAACTTCTTTGAAGGGCAATTAAAATATATCAGCCCGGCTTAGTGGTTGAACTTCAAACTATAAACCAGGATGTCAGGGTTGGATTCCTGAATTGTGGGCTAGATCCCCAGTAGGGGGTGTGCAGAATGCAGCCACTCAATGATTCTCTCTCATCATTGATGCTTCTATCTCTCTCTCCCTCTCCTTTCGTCTCTGAAAACAATAAAAATATATTTTCAAGAAAGAGGGCCTGCCAAATTTAGTTTTTTAAAGAAACAGAAATGCAATCAATAGTGATTGATTTGGGACATGGAGAGGGAAATACCATTATTAGAGTTATTGGTCTCAAAATTCTGGACCAAGAAGGATCTTACAATGCAGTTAGTTATTTGCTGTCTTCATTTTTGGAGAGAATATACTCACAGTTTTGAAACCAAATGGTATGACTTCCATGTATCTTTATTGATGTAAGAAATTAAGTTTCCTTGCAAGTTTCTGTGAAGAAACGGTTAAGATCCTTGAATAAGTAGGAAAAGAATGAACAGAATAAGTAAAACATCATGGCAACCATGTGGGGAATATTCAAATGCAGAAAATACCAGTTTTCTAATTTCCACAGCTACCAGCATCCCAGTTTGCACAATTAGTAAAGACAATATGTGGGGCCACTGGCAGACAATGAGGCAGCTCAGAGTCTGAAGTTCTCTTGGATAGGTAATGCCAGTTAATATTTCAAATGCATTCTTTCTAAAATCTAAAATGACTTCTACAAATCAACAGAAAAATGGCAACAAATTATCATTATCAGTAAATAAATATAAAGAAACCTTATGCCAGGTCACAGCACAGCTTTGGCTCAGTGCTTCTGTGGAAATCTCTCCAGTGTTAGAAGGATGAGGGCAGTTAGAAATGAGAGGACTAATATGAAAAGCTTTCATAGACATATTTGACAGGGAAAAGCACAAATCATTGAGCAAGGAGTAAAGCATTAATATTTTAGGGGAAAATGCAAAAAGGAAGGAAGGAAGGAAGGAAGGAAGGAAGGAAGGAAGGAAGGAAGGAAGGAAGGAAGGAAGGAAAAAGGGAGGAAGGGAGGAAGGGAGGAAGGAAGGAAGGGAGGAAGGAAGGAAGGAAGGAAGGAAGGAAGGAAGGAAGGAAGGAAGGAAGGAAGGATAGGAGGAAGGAAAGAAAGGAGGAAGGAAAGAAAGGAGGGAGGAAGGGAGATTGGATGGAAGGATAGACACACACAACAGGAGCGGTAGAGGGTGGGATTTTCACATTTTATACTCTGTACCTCTGTGACATTTAAAAACACACAGTGAGAATATGTCTATGAATTATAAGTGTTTTTAAAAAAAGGTGTTCAATTCCTGAGGCTCAATTTCAACCTGTGGATGATTTTGCATCTTCACCTTTAGCTTTGTCCTCTTCCCTCAGCAACAACTTACCCATTCCGTTTACAGACACATTTCCCAGGAAGGTCAGAAAAAGTCACACCTACCTATCTGCCCTGTGCCCAGGGGACATTTCCACTCCACCGGAAGCCTTCTGGGTACTTCCTGATCACCCATAAAAGATGACCAAACTGAACTCATCTCCTCAAACAGGCTCTCCTTCCCCACTGCTGTGTGCCCACCTATCATATCACTGTCATTCGCCTCATCATCCAGGGCAGAAATGTTATAGGGTCATATTTGACTTTTCTCTTTCCTGTACATTCCATGTCCCATCTCCAGTCAGTCACTAAATCTTATCAGTTGTTCCTTTACAGCGTTCTCAGGATTCTCCTTTTACTCCTATCACAACTACTCTGATTCAGCGCCTTCCCACTTTACTCCCAGAATTTGCTAGCACATTCTATTTGGTCTCCTTGAATCACGCTTTCCTTTCTAGATAGCTCTACATATGGAATCTAAAATAATCCTATTTTAATCATCTCTCTCTCTCTCACTTGAAAACTTTCAGTGGCTTTCTCTATCTCAGTGTAACTTCCAAACCCCTCTAGCTGATAGCCCAGGTTTTTAATAATTATATTTTTCACTGCTTCCTAAACCAATTCTTTACAATCAGACTGGTCTATTAAGTTGTGATCATTCCTCCAGCCATGCCTCCGCCTAGACTGTACTCATTAGTTTTTCTCTATTTAACAAACCATAGCCATCCTTGAAATCACAGCTAATGTTCTAGCTTATCCATACAGCTTTTCCTGACTTCCACACCCCAGTGACTATAGATTCAGCTGAAGTATTGCACCTTTGGTCTATATCTCTTTTAGTACTTAATTATACGTTACCTCCTTTTTATGCATATCCTCTCTCTTCCCACCTACCATTGTCATGTTCTATAGACAATGTCACACTTCTGTGGCTCCCACAGTACTTAGCCCTGGGCTGGATACAAAATGGGTGATATGTATAAAATACACACACACACACACACACACACACACACACACACACATATAAAGCCAAGAGGCAACGATGAATTCTGGATGTAACTGAGGGATTTAATAATAATAATAATAGCTAACACATACATATGTTAGGCACTGATATAAGTACTTTACATATATTAACTCGTCTAACTCTTACAACAATCCTATGAGATGGCAACTATCATGATCTTCATTTTACAGATGAGGAAACTGAGTCCCAACACTAATAAATGAATGCCTGGGTTCAAATCTAGTCACTCTGGCTCTAAAATTTCTACTCGTAACAGGCTTTGTTGTATCCCTACCAGTGAGATGGGGAGAGAGCCGTGCTGCTGTAAAGAGGATGGAGCAAAAGTGGGAGGAGGCAAGTAGAGGTTAAGGAATAAAATAATGGGACTAAAAAATAGATAAGGAAAAAAATATCGGCAATGAAAAGACTGGTGAAGGAGGAAACAATAGTAAGAAGGAGAATGCAGGCAAGAAATAGTTGACAAAAGATAAAACAGAAAGCAAGTCAATGTGGGTTGGTGAAGAGGAGGAAAGCCAAGGAAGACCTCAGGGAAAAGGCTTCCACCAGGCAGGTGCAGAGAACAAAAGAGGAAAGGCAATTCTTACAAGATTGAGAAGGTGCCCTTGTAGGCGTTGGGCTCTGGCACAGGCACTCTGAGGAGCCTCTCATTTGGGCGGAGACCGATACAGGAGAGCGTCCCAAAATTGCAGACACAGAGCTCACATATGCTCACGGTGGCACTCTGTCCAGTCTCTGGAGGAACTGTCTCAGGTGACTCTGGTGGCTGAGTTACTAGAACTTCCAGGCCCGAAGGTAGAACAGTGCTTTCAGCCGAGGTTGGCTGCAGAGCCTGCGCAGTCTCTGGGTGTGGAAGTGTCGCCTCGGGGTGCTGTGGAGGAGCTGCAGTCCGCTGCAGGGCTGAGGCACCCAGAGTGGGCTGAGCTGGGCTCTCCTGCTGCAATGGAGATGACTCTATCTTCTCAGGGGGCGGTGGCGGGATCGCCTGCTGGGCTGGAGCTTTGACTTCCTCAGCCGACTTTGGAGGATGATCTGAGACCTCCTGCCCAGTGACAAATAGTTCCATCTCCTTCGTGGACTCTGGAGATACCAAAACCCCCAGAGCGACATCTTTCACATTAACGTGGGACAACACTGGATGCTGAGCTTCACGCGCACCCGCAGGTGAGTCTGCCACCTCACGATGGACCGAAGGTTGAACTGCAACATCTACAGAGGGTTTTGGAGGCTGAGCTCCACCCGTCTGATGGACTGGAGAAGGTTCTACGCCAGCAAGAGGCACTTGAGGCGGAAGTGAGCTCGCCCGCTGGCTCGAAGATTCAACATTTTCAGCGGGGATGGGATGCTGACCTGGAATTCCTTGGTGGGCTGACAAAGGTTTCAATGGCTCAGAGGACGCTGTAGACTGAGCCGGGGCCCCTTGTTGGGGTGGAAACTGAGCTGATGTCTCCTCCTGGGTGGAAGTGGCTTCTGCTCGCTGAGCTGAGGCCTCCCGAAGGGCTGGAGGATGTTTCACTTCCTCAGAGGCTTCTGTAGGCAGAGCCGAGGCTGCTTGTTGGAGTAATCGAGATTCACCCTCTTTAAAGGCATCTGAAGGCTCAGGTGGGGGGTTTTGCTGATCCAAAGGCCAGGGCTCGGTCGGGCCCGCGGGGATGGAGGTCAGCAGGACAGGGTCCAGGGCTAAGTCTGAAGGTTGAGCTGCCTGGACCAGCAGCTTCAACAGCTGCCCCATAAACAGGGGCCATGGGGCCCAGAGGTGCAGCCCAGACATGACAACCAGAGGTCCAGGGCATAGCGAGCGACCCAGGCCAGTGGGTCACAACGAGGGACGCAGTGAGCAACCCAGGAGAGGAGGGCACAAGGAGTGATCCAGGGGAGTGGGGCACAGTGAGTGACCCGGGCACTGGATGGAAGCCAAACAATTGGCAGCCTTGTCACAATTGGCAGCTGTCATGCATGTGCCCCTTAGCAACCAAACACCCCTCCCCCACCTCAGGTTCCAGCCTTTATTTAGGCAGCCTTTGTTACTCTTGGGCTGAGAGGGACTGCAGAAGAGTGAGCTTTTCCCCAGAATCACCAGGGACCAAGCATCCTTTTCACTTGTAGAGGGGATAACAGCCTCCCCCTAAGCGTCCCCTCTCCCTCACAGAGGCAGGATTTGAGCTGTAGACCTTAGTGAGACACCTCCAGACTCCAGCAGCCCAGGGGTCGGGGCAGGGGCTCTAAATGAGGTGGGGAGATGGGAGGTGCTGCAGAGCTTCCCAAGGAATCCACAGAGCCTGGCATCGCAGGAAATTCAGAAATGCCAGTCCAGTTCTGGCAATCTGAGCTCCTCAAAGCTGAAATACACGACATTCTTCCTCCTCTGGGCCATACTGCTCCCAAGAAAGCATTTAGGGTGGTGGAGAGGAGGACACTTGACAGTTCTAAAATGTTGCCATTTCCTCAAAATTCTTAGGATCCATGTCTGAGTCTTAATTTACTGCTCTATTAGTCAGGGGCTACCACTGTATCAGTGATGTCTCCAAAATTTCTAAAAGTGGGGTTTTGGAGGGTGAGCAATTCATTTCGGGAAAGAGGGTCTGAAACCAAGTGTAGCCCCTTAACACTCAGTCGAACTTCTATATACTTGTCCTATCTTTATATGAAATTAAAGGTGATATATGCTTATATTAACCTTATATAACCTGCATCTCCTAGCAGTGTCTTGCATGTAGCAGTAGCAGATGCTCATCAAAGATTGGTTGGATAAGTGATTGCTAGTAGGTGAGAACTTGTAATCGATGAGGGTTTGATAATCTTCAGTGGGTGTTATAACTCTAAATATTTTGTATTTGGGAAACTAAAAATTGTTCTGATTACATTTTGATAGGCAATTTGCCCAATGAATGTTTTTATGCTAATTAGATCTGACAGCCAAAAGACCTTCCAGACAAAGCCGGGGCTGTGAGGGCCGAGGCAAGCTGCTGAGGCTGCAAGGGCCAAGCCCCTTGCATGAATTTTGTGCATTGGGCCTCTATAAATAAATCAAACAAAAAAAGGAAACCCAACCACAAATTGTAATTTAACTCAGTGTATACACAGCTATCAATCCTGAATATTATTTGCTAGGCCTTCAAAGAGAATGTTAGCTGAACTGCCCTGCCAAAATGTCCTGGGGTAGTCTCTCTGGGTCTTTCATTCTGGGAATAAGGAGTGACTTTTTTTCATTTGCTGTTAGGACAGTCTAAGCGAGGTTACACTTGGCTTAATTCTGATACTTCTCTAATAAGTATAGGGCTAGGGCTACCCTAGTCTCTTTTTTTAAAAAAACAACACGTTTCCTCAAATATAAGTACTCTTAAAACGAGATTCTTAGTTAATCCAGATTAAAAAGCATATAAAGAGCCCGGCCTGTGTGGCTCAGTAGTTGAGCGTGGACCTATGACCCAAGAGGTCACCATTGGATTCCTGGTCAGGCCACATGCCCTGGGTGCTGGCTTGATCCCCAATAGGGTCCATGATTCTCTCTCATTTATGTTTCTCTCTCTGATATCAATAAAAAATATTTATTTTAAAAAAAAACATATAAAGAAAAAAATTTTTTGTAGAGTATTGCTACAAGTTATGCTTCCCCCCCCCCCCCACAATTTAGTAACATGCAGCTACCATATTAACACAAAACAGTAATGGTGTGGTTAAAAAAAATGCACCTCAGCACCAGCCTAGAGAAACTTCCGTGAGTCCATTGGAGGGGAGTCACCACGGATACATTAATTACAGATCCAGGAAGGACTTTATCCTTTGAAATTGGATAAAAAGAAAAGTCATTTTCTAATAAGTCCCCCCCTCTCCCTCATACTTTTGCAGAGTGTCTTAGAAGTTGGTGCAAAGTTCATCTTCAGCACGTGCGGCTGCATGATCAATGCACATCTCTCTCCGGGACCAACCTGCGTGTCTCAGGCAAAGCAATGGGATCAATGACGCCTGCGCCCAGGATTTCTCCCTTTTACTGCGGGTTCCGCCACAATGACTAGGAAGCGGGTGAATCGCGACGTTTGTTTCGGGTTTGTTTGGTTTCCTGCTTTGCTTTTTAGCCATTCACTGCAACTGCGGCGGGAGCCAGCAGCAAGAATAAAGGAGCCCAGGACCCGGTCAGGCTCCCGGCAACCCAACCGACCCGGTCCGCGCCGCGGGGTTAGAGCCGGGCGAGGGGAAGAGACGGGGCCCGTCCAAGGCCTCAGACCTCGCCTTATGCCGCGGGGGCGGGCCGGCGGCCACCTCATTGGGCGTCACCTCCGCCCGGGCGGCGGCCCACCTGCCCCGCGGAACCTTCCGACGTCCGGCCCGAACGCGGGCGGGGCCGCGGGCTGCTCGTGCCGCCCGCCCCGCCGGCCCCTCACATCGGAGCGGAGGCGGGGAGAAGGTGGAGCAGAGGGCAGAGGTGGCGGCCGGGCGGGGCGATGGAGGATGCCCACTGAATGACGGGGCCCTCAGCCGCCATCTTGTTTCTCTGAGTGACGGCGGCTGCAGGCCCTGAGCGCGGTCACGTGAGCTGCGCCTGAGACGGAGCGAGGCCCCCGGCGGCCACTAGGGGGAGCCCTGAGGCAGGTGGCGAGATCTAGAGGGGCGCTCCCTTTCGCTAAGTGCCTGGCATAGAGCCTCGGGGAGCGGACTCTGTTTCTATCCCTCTCTCTCTTACTTCCTTTCTGAAATCAATAAAAATATATTTAAAAAACAATAAAATAGCAAAAGAACCCTAGCTGGGTGCTCAGCTGGTTGGAGCATCATCCCATGCACCAAAAGGTTGCAGGTTTGATTCCTAGTCAGGGCACATGCTTAGGTATCAGATTTGATACCACTTAGAGGCAACTATTGGAGACAACTGATGAACATTTCTATCTAACATCAATGTCTCTCTCTCCCTCTCTCTCAAAAAAGTCAGTAATAACACATCCTTAGGTTAGGGTTAAAAAAATTATATACAAAAAAGTTTAGAATTTGGCATTCTTGAATTAGAATTCTGAACCAGAGCCAGACTTTACTGATTCTCATCACACAAGATCTCTTTATTCTCTACGTGGCTTCCTTTAACAACGGCAGCTTTACTGAGGCACCAGCCTAGGGTGTCCGAGCGGAGCGCCTGCCCCTGGTGCGCTCACACCACGTGCAGTGAGAAGACAGCCAGCATGCCACCAGGACAGAAGCTCAGGGAATTTCTAGAAGTGCTTACCTTCGCTCTTTCCCTGCATACGAACACTAACATCTGTTTTCAGACTTGGAAATCTTCACGGAAACAAAAGGCTTAAAAAGAAAAATATTAGATTTTATTCAGGATAAGCAGAGGATTAGAATGACATCAAACGAAACCATCCAAATATTTCCCACCAGCGAAAGCCCAAAGAACCAGGAATAAGCTGTACATTTTTTACTTTTATGAAAATGACAAGAAAACATGCCTCTTCCTTCAGGAGGCATGGAGGGGGCTTCTGGGGTGGGCACTTGGGGAGTTTGGTACAGCTTTCTATAAACGCAACTTGATAAAAACAGGAGATTATAGACACATCATTTTTCATTGGTTTATTAAAAAGTAAGACAATTCCCACAGACAAAATTTCTAAATCCCTTTGCTGTCTTTTTGTTGTTGTTGTAAAACTTCTGAGATGTAACACCCTTCACAACCCTCACTCTGCTCAGCCCACACTACAGCCCAACTCCTGGGCTCCTGGCTGCATGGGACAGAGCTTCCAACATCCCGGACCATGGCCAATGCAGCCTCTACGGTGGGTGAGCCCTGTCAGAAAACTAAAACATTTTTAAAAATTTATTGATTTTATAGAGAAAGGAAAAGAGGAAGAGGGAGGGAGGAAGGGAGGGAAGGAGAGACAGAAACATCGATTTGTTGTTCCACTTATTTATGCATTCATTGGTTGCTTCTTGTATGCGCCCTAATCAAGGACTGAACCTGCAACCTTGGTTTAAGGAGACAATGCTCTAACCAACTGAGCTACTTGACCAGGGCTAGGAAAATGTAATTAGCTGCTAACTCCTTCTAAATAAACCGTGGATGGATTACTTTCGCCCCTAAGATTACATCCTGAATATCTGATGCTCAAGCTCCGGTCTTCCTGTTATCACTTGGCCCCTGAAAAGTATGGCAGAATATTCACCGATTGGCTCATCCTAGGCGTGCCACTTATGATCCAGACGAGGCCAAATAAACAGTCAGGATATTGTCTAAAAAGGCCACGATGGCCCTTTTGGCTGTGTCGCCAGCCAGTGCCTGGACAGTGCTGATGTGCTCCAGGGCCGTTCGGACCATCTGGTCTCTTTCCTGTGGGCTATGGGGTGCTCCAGCGTCATCTCCCTCTGCTCCTGATTTTAAAAACTGTAGGAAATAGGACCGGATCATGTCCCCATTCAACTCAAGGGTTTCTTTGATGCAAGGCAAGTCTGAGGCACTGGCCAAGCTCAAGAGGTGAACCAGCGCCTGACAGATTTGGGTCCGTAAGCTGGCACAGTACTTGAATTCCAAGAAGTCTGTGGTGTCTTCACTCTTCTGCAAGGCAGTGACCAATGCATTCCAGATCTGAGCGTACTGGTCAACAGACCCATAGTGTTCTCTCTTGCCCGGGATGGAAAGGGCGGTGGCAGACCTGATGCGCACTTTGAAATTCTTGCATGACGTCACAACCGATGTCAGGGCATTGTAGGCCTGGGAGGTCCACGGAGCTGTTCCTGGAAGAACCCAGTCATTAAAAGGAAGGAAGATTTAGAAATCAATAGGGGGAG